TGTTCTATCAAAATTTTCCGATTCAAACTCGCTCAGGGTTATCGTATAGGTAAAGGGGGCCCGCTCAGCAGAATGCGTATGAAATAAGGAAAGATTCTGAAAAATGGTTGGGGGCCCGCACACTAGGGGGCCCGCTTTGGAGGCGATGACCCCCCCGAAACCAAATCCTGGCTGCGCCACTGAGCCCCACACCGGCTTTTTAGTGTCCCTTGTCGGCCTTTGAGGGCCCCTTGCCGGCTTCTCGGGGCCTATTGTCGACCTCTGAGGGCTATACTTGCCGGCCTCTGAGGGCCCTTACCGGCCTATCACTAGCTCTAAGGGTTCCACACACGCCTGCGATGACCCCCTAAACCAATGGTTAAAGGCCCCCACAACGGCGCCTTCGAGGGCCCTCACCAGCGGCTGTGAAGGCCTCACACCGGTGCCTAGCTGAGGGCCCCACACTGCCACAGTCTCTGAGTGCAACCGGCACCCCTGATGTGGTCCCGAAACCAGTGCTTCTTAAGGCCATAGATCAGCGGCACTGAGGGCTCAACGCCGAAGCCTCTGACGGCCTCATACGGGACCTGCGCATCGGACGGCCACTCACCGGTGACTTTTGAGGGCCCCACTGGCGTCTGAGTGTACCTTGCTGGTCTCTAAGGATTCCACAGACCTCCCGAAGGTACCGCAGACCTCTCGAGAGCCCTTTGTCGGTCTCTGAGAGACCCTGTCGGCCTGTGAAGGGTTTGAGCCAGCAGCTCTAAGGGTCCCACACCCGACTGTGACGACCCTACACTGCAGTGTCTCTGAGGGCCCACAACGGCAACTGTGAGGACCCTCACCGGCGCCTCTGAGGGCCCACAGCGGCACCTCTGGCGGCCCCGCACCAATGCCTCTGAGAGCCTCATACCGGTACCTGTGAGGGCCCACACCAGTGCCTCCAAAGGTTTCATAACCGGCGGCCCTGAGGGCCCTACACGGGTGATTTTGAGGGGCTTACCGAAGGCACCACACAATCCCTTATGTCCTCGCTGAGCTTCTATCCCAATCCCAAGCTGGTTTCTATCCCAATTCTGGCTTAACCTATTAGCAGCCCACGCCCCCCCCCCCTCCATGGGTCAGCAGCGCCGCGCCGATGCCGGGGGCCAGCGCCATCGGGGCCGCAGTCGGCCACGCGCACTCAATGGTTAGCGCTTAGCACCGGCGGCTAGCGCACGCCCGGTGTGTTATCGGCCGTGAGCCGCTCCAAAACCGCTGCAGTAACTGGTCGATATAGGTAGTAAGCAGATGCAGAGATGCAGGTGAATTGATGACCGGCAAGCTTTTGTGTTTTACGAGGGTGAAGGGTCGAAGTCGGCTGCTAAGTGGTAAGCGGATTTTACCAGATGCCGGTTCACTATGACATTTGTCCGGGTCCGGGTACCCTGACGCACTCTTGGAGAGCCGAATCACAGCAAGACTCCATCCACGGCTGTATTTATGCGGATTGCGTTTTTCTGAAAACGTCTGTGTTTGGCCTTCTACGGGCCCGGCCGGCCGGTCCCGATTAGGGCTTCGGCCTGTCGGGAGCAAAATTCCCGGTCCCGATTGGCGGTCCTCCAGTGACGTCACCGGTAGTGTTAAGCTGATTGGCGAATACATGGGAAGAACCGGGACGACATCCCCCTGGACGCGCTGTGCTGCTTCACTTGCAGCTTAGTGCGTCGCTCAGCAGCTGCCGCTGTCAAGCCACGGTTCAGCCAAATCCGTGTACGGACAAGAGGTGGAGCCTCTCATCCTTCAGTAGAACTGCTCTCTTATGGCCCTTTCACACGTAGCAACTTTTCCGGTCGCCGGCGACGGCAACTGTCGCCGGCGATCGCCAGCGACCGGGGTCAGTCGCCGGCAACTCCGCAGTTGTCGATATCAGCAGACCAGTCGCCGGGGTGTGACGTAGCAGTCGTGTCAGCCAATCATTGAAGAGTTGTCGGCGTTGCCGAGAAAGTTCAATTTTTCCAACATTTTGAAGTCGCCGGCGACTGTTCTAGCCAGCCGCCGCTCAACTGTCACGTGACCCGCTTGACCTTGAGTTGGCACCAGATATTGCGCTGCTGATACATGCAGCGGCGCAGCTTATTTTACTGCATTATTCAAGGTACTAAATATTTGGACATGTTTTGCAGGATGATAACTACCGTCTAGGTAATATTGGAATAATATTTATTAGATCTATTATTGAAACAATACATAATATCAATGAAAATACAATCAAACTGCGATTCTTCTACATTGGAATTCAATGCACTCAAGCATAAAACTGAAAAGTGATGTGTACTTGCAGTTCCTCCATTTTTCCTAACGCATCAGCCAAGACTACGAAAGCTGCAGATTTTGCTCACCTGTCTTGTTTATTCAACTACAACCCTGTTCTCAATAAATGAATAACTTCGCTGTAACGACATTAGCATTGAAGGAATGGTTGGTGGTAAGCATGGGACAATCACAGTGATTTGTGGTCACACATTTGAACCGTGCTTTGTATGTGAAAAACAGAAAAAAGGCATTCTAGAAATGTAGCAGAAATTCAAATGCCAGAAACGGACCTGAGGAACGGCGAAGCCTACCACCCACATAAAACACAGGCTTTCATTATGTCAAAAACAGATGCTGTATTATCTAAAGCGCTGGATTGGGGAACACAAGTGTACCCCCCCCCCCCCTTATAACAAAATGCATTTTTCCACACAGTGGCACACAGTGGATATCACTAAACATGGCGAGGTGACAGTATATGACACCATACGCGCGACCACATAAAAATGCAGCACGTGCGGACACGGGGCAAGGACGGTGGCACAATATGCCGATACCCAAGAAGACACAAGCCTAGGTCAAAGGTGACAATACTGTGACAGAAATTTTAAAATCAGCCTGGACACAGCTCACTCTTCATGACCGTTTTTATCGAAAATAGACCAACAAAACACCAAGGCTCCTTCGTCCAAAACTCAAAACTCGACATGCCGCTCCAAAGGCCTTGCAAAACAGCGCACACCAACAACGCATAATAGCCAGCAACGCACACGACAGGATCTTCGAGGCCCGAGTCGTCAGCCGCCGCCGCCGCCGCCACCTCCCGGCAGCTGATTGCTGAGTGCCTTGCTCCGGCTTGCCGCACCGGCGCCGATCGTGGCGACCTCTTTACTCTGGCAGAATCGACCCTACCGAGCGGCGACAGCATTCAGAAGCAAAATGACAAATGAATTCACTGCACTATGTCAGAAAATCGAATGCACATGCCATGGTCACACGCGGTGCCGTCCACGGGGCCGGCAGAAGCTGCACACTGTCACCGAACACCACCTGCACCTTGGACGCAGTATGTGAGGGCTTGGCGGACGCGCGCCGCCTCGCGTGCGGTATTGGCATCAAGGCCCGGACACGAGGGAGCACACTCGGCGCAATCAGAGCACACCGTCCGGGGCCGTCAGTGTCGATCTCCTGACCTCACAGAAAGTTGTGCAGCACACAGGTGAACGCCGTCAGTGTGGTGACTGGTGCGCAGCACACCGTCCCACGGAAGATCGTCTGTGGGCCGTGGTGCAGATGCTGTCTCTAGGCAGAGTCAACAGTGCAGTGGCAGAAGTTGAACATTCAGCTGCTAGACTCCTTTTCGGGTCAGCAATGCCGTCGAGTTGGCCATCAGGTGGTGTTGCAGAATCATCAGGTACTCTTGATCAGGTACATCAGGTACAGAACCTCTTGACTCATCAGGTAACGCTGTGACTTGTCTGCCAGGCACAGAGGGCGGACATGTCAGAACATACTTCAAATACATTTTTAAAAATCATTTTTTAACCAAAAGCTCTGCAAATTAGGAAGCCTGGAATAGGCTATTGCTTAGCATCATAAAAACTACCCAAATACCCAAATCAGGTTAGGCTTGGTTTACCCAAATACCCAAATCAGGTTAGGTTTGGTTTTTACACTTCAGGCTAAAATGAGAACTATCTTAGCATCATTATGATGCGGGACGGCCGGTCTCATATTCCGACCGGCCGGCCGCGCGGCGGCCGGTCGCGCCGGCCCGCCGGCGGCCGTGTTAAGTGAATGGGGACGGAGCACCCACGAATTCAATCGAAGATATCTCGGCATTGAAATCATTTTTCTAAAATGAAGGCTAACAGTAGGTGCAAAAATTTATTGTCTTGCTAATGGTACTACGTGAACCACAAAACGATTGCAAACAGCGTGACAAACTTCGAAAAATTGACTGGACCTCGGGATCAGATTTTAGCATGGCTGACGGGCGCCATTTTTACTCCGGCGGCGGCAAGGGATTCTTAGATTACACATTGCTAAAAAACTACGCTACTTCTAAAAAATGAAGGGTAATATATTATAGAAAAAAGGCTGCCCTATGTATTGAACATAATTTTATCCCACCTCTTGGTCTAGGAGCGTGACAAATTGGCATTACATTGTCCACCACGCCATGGAAAGGCACTTCCGGCGGTAAGTAGAAAACGCCACTAAATTAAAGGACACCGGATTGAGGAAGAGTGTGAAGTAAAGGACCGCATACGCCGAATGTGTTCTGTCCCAGATCAATTAATAACAATGCCGTATGAAATGACTTGAACCATAGGAACTAAATTAATAGGCAATTATGAACCAAGAGGCCAGGCATGAACCGGCCAATGACAAGTAAGCTGGTCGTATACTTGCCTCACGCCTAAAACGCTGCTTAGAACGAGGCCTCTTCTCTAGCTTGCCCGTTATGTTACAGAGCCTAAATACCTACGTGTTTAATATTATATCAATGATTCTGCTCATTTTCAACCACAGTAGAAATGTTGAGAATATTTTGTTTTAACTGTCCCAGGGCAAGTAGGTAATTGTATTTTAGTTAAAAAAAAAACACGATAACATGATCTTATGCATGAATAATTCAGAATAACACCGGAAAAAATAAAAGACGAGCACTGATGAACGCCAGAGGGATAGGTATTTCGATCGGAATTCAATGTGTTAACAAATAATCTGTACCAAATGTATTTATACAAGCACACATTATGTACACGCGGGCACCGCTTTTCGAGGTCAGTGCCACTGATGTCTGCACAGCAACCTGCCACGCCTCCTCCATCCAGCACTTGGACATCCGACGGCGCCCGCGCCGCCGCGTCCTCCGTCCAGCGCTGGACGTCCCACAGCCCGCCGCTGTCGCGTCCGCCGACCAGCGCTGGGGTATATACAGCCCACGCCGCTGCATCCTCCGATCAGCGCTGGGAAGTCCCACAGCCTGCCGCCGCCTCTCCGTTTTCCGACCAACAGTTTTGCGCTGAAACATAGGGTACAAGTTTAAGACATTGCAGTTGGATATTTGATATAATAAATGATTCGTTCACCAAAACCACTTCATCACTTTATCACACAATGTGAGTTTGGATCTGCCCTTGTAAATAGCTACCTACAAACTAGCACTTGACTTGACACTGGCACACACAACACATTTATTTCACTCAAAATTATCTTCCTTGTTCAAGAACCCTTTTCAAAGCCAAAAGCTAAAGTTTTGCACCTGAACCCAAAAGAGGCTTATTCGCTATGCCCAAAAGCAAATCTTGTCACCAACCCCAAAAGTGACTTGTCGCTAAGTCCAAAAGCAAAATTTACCCCAGGTCCAAAAATTGTTTGTCAAAAAGTCAACAAGCTGCCTTAGCCCCTAAAAACCATAAGCACTTTTTCTGCTATGCAGGGGTGTCGATTTTTCAAAATGGTTGGGGGTGCTCAACCCCTGCACCGGGTGAAAGATTGCAGCTTTGCCATGGGGCACAACCGCACATACAAGGCATGGTTGGGTATCTTCATAAGGTACCTACTGATAACCCGCGAGTTGCTGGGGGGGGGGGGGCGTTAAACGCCCCCACTTTTTTCGCCGGGCATAGCATAAAAACGGCGCCTGTAAATTTGGGTACCTGTAGGGAATCGATTGAAGTTTATTGTGACAAAGTTTCAAAAAAATCGGTCGGAAAATTTTAGAAATATCGAGGTTTTAGTGACGTCATGATTTCTGAGTTTTCGACCAAAAACGGCATATGTTCAAAAAATCATATAAAATCACAGAATAGACATACAGACATGTCGTAAACGCTATTAGACTGTCAATACCATGAACAATCAAATGGCTATCTTCGATTATTGATTATCGTTCCGCATTTTCCAAAATCTTGAACTGAATCTTGGCAATTTCTCGTTACTACTTACCGACCATGATACATGCATTTCTTAAATTGAACCTTTTGAGCCAAACACGTACACATATGATATAATGAACGTCACCATCGTGTTCTACGCCCCAAATTACCCATAAAACATGTGTCACAGGCTGCGAATATCAGTTTTGATTTTCGGGGATATGTGCCTACCTGGTTGACCTGACCTTGACCCTGACCTATGCTTGACTGACCCCTACATGGAGCTGACACTCTTGTAGGCCTTATATGATGGATTGTGCACCGTTTTGACAGAGTTTATGATGAGAGGCGCCCATTGCGAAGTCCTGAAGTCCATGCTACTGAAAGCCCAATTTAAGGTATTTGACCTGACCTTGACCCGACCTGTGACCTCAAAATTCAACTTTAAAGTACTCATCTGAAGCGTCTCGTCGCGTTCTTTCGTTTGCCGCCTCGTGCGTTTCGCTGCGCCTATTGGTTCTCGAGTTATCAGCTGGGGGCGTTTAACGCCCCCCCCCCAGCAAACGGTGGGTGGCGAAATACCCCAGCAACTGCCGGGATAATTCCGGGATTTCCACTAATATTTCCCAAAGGTTGAACGTTCTTCAGCATCATTCTGCTCGTCCTGGTAGGTACTTGGCTACCTTATTACATAAATATGTCTAAAAAAAAAGTCGTACATTTGCCGGCAGCTGGTTGCAGCCCCGGCACCTCGGTAATAAGGCGACAGTAACCGATGACGGCGATTAGCACCGGTGCAGCAGCCCCTGCGGTCCGCAGGAGTGGATATTGCGCGGAGGGAACGGTAGCTACGAAGCTCTGGCGGTAATCAGACGATCACAATAATCTCTGATAATGACAGGTGATCGCATTTCGATATTTATGGGTTTACGACTTTCCAGTCAGTGGCGTAGCCAGGTGGGCCCGTGAGGCACATGCCCCTCCCCCCCATCAGGTTCAGGGGCCCCTCGGGTTATTCGGGCCTGAGGGGCCCTGCGGCGCCAATTGGCCGCTGAAGGTCCACGTTGGCCATATTTGGACTAAGTAGGGCCCCACAGGGCTCGTAAGAACACCTCATGGGCCCACAAGTACCAACATTAAGATCTCCATAAGGGCCCCAAGCCAGCCTCTGAGGCCCACTTGCCGGCCTCTGGGGGTCCTAACCGGCCTCTAGGGGGCCAGCTCTAGGAGCTGCACACCCGCCTGTAATGGCCCCACACCCATTTCTCTGAGGGCCCCTATAACGGCGACTGTGATGGCCCTCACCGGCGCCCCTGAGCGCCACACCGGCGTCTCTAAGGGCCACACACCCCTAACTCTGAGGCCCTACACCAATGGCTTTAAAAACCCTACATGGGCGGTTCTGAGGGCCCTTGTCAGTTACCAGCGACCCTGACGATCCCACACAGGTGACTCGGAGGATCCAAGCGGCGTCTGAGCGCACCATACCAGTCTCTGAGAACCCCACAAGGCTCCTGAAGGCACCGGTGACCTCTTAATATCTTCTTGTCGGCCTATGAAGGGTCTGTTCCGTAACAGCAGTTCTGAGGGCCCCACGCGCGCCTGTGATGGCCCTAAACCAGTGTCTCTGAGAGCCCCCACAACGGCGCCTGTGAGGGCCGTCACCGGCGACTGTGAACCCTCCACACCGGCGGCTCCGAGGGCCCCACATTGCCATATCTAAGGGCCCCACACTAGTGCCTCTTAAGGCCCTATATCGGCGGCTCTGGGGGCCCAACATCGTAGCTTCTAAAGGCCCACAAGTGCGCATGTGACGGCCACCCACTGGTGACATTTGAAGGCCCCACACCGGCTACTCTGAGGGCCCCATCGGCGCTGAGTCCGTGCCGGTCTCTAAAGACGACCCCACAGGGTTTCTTAAGGTACCACCGGCCTCTGATGGCCCTTTGTCGGCCTCTGAGGGCCCGTCGCCGGTCTCTGGAGCCCCCTGCCGGCTTGTAAAGGGTACGCGCCAGCAGCTCTACAGGGTGTAACGAAATTATCCGGACATCTTTCTTCGCGCTGTAATTAAGAAGCAAGACATTCTGATATTTTCCCTTTTGAATTATTATATAGCCACCTTTCATAAGAGCGCAGGTACACAATTTTGGAGCATTCCAGCCACTGGATTTTCCAGCACAGTGGGTTTCATATAGAGTAGCGCCTTACTAACCTGTGCCCGCAGTTGGGCGGCGCTGGTGGCGGGTGTCCCCTCATTCATCTCCTGATGGACAATAGTCCATAATATATCGACGGAATTGCATGGGAACTATTTCCAAGCCATAGCCCTTTAGCCCAGAAGAACAAAAAGGTCCTCTCGGCATCACTTCTCATTCTGCTAGGGACTTGAAGGTGGTGCGCCGCCCCGTGTGAAGACTGCGCGGCTTGAATCAGGTATCGGTACACGTTCAGAAACCGAGCCATCCTGTGCCGTCTGGTTGAGTGGCTCCAACCAATCGCTAGCCAGGATGTTGCGCCGGTAATACTCGTCACTGATAGTGGTTTTCTGTGTCGTCATGAACAGCTTGAATATTACACAGCAGCTGAACATGTTCCAGGTCTGGATTTTGGCCGGATGTTTGACGCCGGCGACGGCCGGCACATTCGAGCTGCTGGCAGCCCACACATGGCCGATTTGACGGTTCAACGGGTATCGCAGCTCGAACAGCTTCCCATCCGACCAGGTCACCTCATTCGTGTCTTCCTTCGACCAGTGGACACGCCCTGGCCTGAAGCCAAAGGTGGTGGACTGGTTGTTTTCCCGTCAATTTCATTGTCTTTTCCAGTTTGAAGGGCAGTAAAACCAAGCTAAAGGGCGGGTAACGGTGAATCATGATGTGGGACCTCTTATTATCTACCTTGGTAAGAATTCGAGTCAGTATGCGGATTAATTGGTGCCGTTTCCTTGTCGCTATCTTGACAACTCTCCTCACCACTTGGCAAAGGGCGCCTTTTGCGATCGAGGCCGGGCTGAGTCTGCCACCAAGTCCCAGCTTATTACGCCTCAGGCAGATGTGCTACTGGCTGCTGCTGATGTCCAGCTGCTGACAGACCAGCTTCTGGCTCATGCCACCATGCCACCAACACGTAGCCTTACTACGAAACGAGAGACTGTACTCCTTTCTCTCCACTGCCTTAAACGAAAATTATCAAATGAACCCGTCGGCGACTCGACTCTTACTCAGAGCAAGAGTCATTTCGCAAGGTCAGGTCACTACTGAGTTGAGAGCAGATACCAGAGGTATGCATTCATCCAATTTTCCAGCTTCTAACATTAAAAGAGAAACTGTGCGAGCAGATATGGCGAAAAAATAGATGTCCGGATAATTTCGTTACACCCTGTAAGGGTCCGACATCCGTGTACGACGGACCCACACCAGTGTCTTTGCTACTTACCGTTTTTTTCGCCTTTCTTCTTAAAACTAACTTTTCTTTTCTTTACATCTTTATTTCATGCATTGCAAGTTGTGTAATTGTTTTAGTTTTAGTAGTGAAAGACTGCAGAACCAATTATTTTCTTCAGCAGAGTTAGTGGGAGTTATTGAGGGACAAAATCATTGGGGGTGCTAACTGGAACATTCGGGGGTGCCCGGAAAACCATTGGGGGTGCTCATTTGAGCATTGGGGGTGCTGCAGCACCCCCAAAGGTATACAAATCAACACCCATGCAGTGCTATGCCTAAAAGCAAATTTGGACCCTAAACCCAAAAGCGACTTGTCGCTAAGCAAAAAAGCGACTTGTCGCTAAGCTGAAAAGTGACTTGCCTAAAAGCAACATTTGCCCCAAGTCAAAATAATATTTGCTGCGAAGCCAAAAAGCTGCTTTAGCCCCTAAAATCCAAAGCCACTTTTGCTATGCCCAAAAGCAAATTTTGACGCAAACCCCAAAAGCGACTTGTCGCTAACCCCAAAGCAACATTTGCCACAAGTCCATGTTGGCTTGCTGCTTAGCCCAAAAGCTGCTTTTGACCTCAAAATCCAAGTGCTTTTTTCTATGCCCAGGAGAAAATGTCAAATATCGTCCTTGTCGCTAGGCCAAGAAGTAACTAACCATGGGTCAACAACCAACTTCTGGCCCCAAACCATGTGAGTTTGTGCTATATCAAACACCCAATTTTTTACGTATTCATATGAGAACGAACCCCCTGTTAACAGGCACTAAAATTGGATATCACAAAATGAAAATACAATAAATGAAATAGCGTCATGATAAAACCAATTACAAAAAAATGAAACAGCCATGGGAAATGGTATCTTACCTGCCAAAGAAAGCATCCGAATTCCGAAGACTCTTCGAGATACTCTAAAAAGCTTAAAATTTTCACCCAAACAATAGATATAAAAAGAAAACAATCACCACAACATTCATTCCCATACAAAAATACATACAGAACAGAAATAATAACACCTCTGCGCCACTAAGCGCAACTCCGCGCCAGAACTGACTACGATAGAAATAGTGTTAAAAAGTTGTATCTATTTGAAGTTTTTGTTTCCTGATTTTGTTATAATATTCATTTATTATTCTAATAAATACATAAAACATCACTGAAAGAAAAGTACACCTTGGTAATTTGAATTTGATTATTATACACCGCCATTACACCGAAATCAAGAATATTTATACCCTTGTTCGACGTATATGGAGAATAAAATAATGCTCCGGTGCGAATGTACTCTATCACGAGCGTATTCTTGGGGTTTAATTCAATCCAGTTTAACACTCATGGTGCAATTCTAACTTTTGAGATATTTACCCCTCTAATTGATGGATGGTAAAATTACGACTATAGTGTATTTTCTTCAAGTGGGATAAGAATACCCATCTGATAGCATAAATTTGCACTCTGATTTGTCAGCTGATAATTCAACCCTCATCATGGTGTAAATATGCATCCTTTGTAAAGTGTGTTTCGATGAGGATGGTGTTATTTTATGACAAGGATTTAAAATACCCTAAACATAATAGTTCTGCACCCATATGCTCATTATTTTACGATAGCGTCCACGTGCGGCTCGCGAGCCTTCCGTTTCCGCCATTTTCATTTTTGTGTCTGCTCCGGACCGGAGCCACGGAGACTTCTGGCGCTTGCAAGTGATCTTCTGGCGGTTGAAACAGTGAGATAGGTGCGAGTGTGCTGGTGCGTTCGGTGTGGTGATGACTGACTAGTGCTGGACCCATTTCCGAATAACTTTGAGGGTAAGTTGACTTGATAATGTTTCGATGTAGCAGTTGATGAAATTGATTTGCTGCTGTCTGTATGCACGTCACTCACTTAGCTGTTTGTGTCAATACGTGGCATTCTGATTAGTGATTCCAGAAGCTCAAATTGACCCTCGCAGTTTGTTCTCAAGGGCAAATTGAGAAATCAGTTAAGTACCTACTGAGGTTGTTAACTGTAACTTCATCAAATGTTCAATGTGTACATTGATCAATATATGTTTAGGTATGTTTAGTAATTTTATTTCTCTACGTTTTACAAAAGTACTAGAATCTTGCCCTGGAAAAGTTGCTAATTTATTTTGTGTATTACTTTCAGGTTTGGGGTGACCTGGCTCTCGTCGTGGGTCACGCCGGCGAGAATGGCATTAGGACAAAGTCACCTCAATGACGCGACAGGCGTGCTACACCGCACAACTCCTGCCTCCGGAGGGCGCCACACCCGTTGAAGGTGAGTTTTAAACCACCATTAATGATGACTGACGACAATTGTCCGTCTGTCTGTCTGTCCGTCTGTCCGTCTGTCCGTCTGTCCGTCCGTCCGTCTCCGTCCGTCTCCGTCCGTCCGTCCGTCCGTCTCGCCTGTCTCATCCATGGGCTTCGCCACCGGGGGGAGGGGGAGGGACGGGGGACGTGTCCCCCCCCCAATATTTTACATTTGTCTGTTTCGTCTGTCTCGTCTGTCGGTCCGTCCGTCCATGACATACAATATCGTTCTGTAATTAAATGTTACAGTGCTTACTAGTTATATCTTTCAGTTTTCACGGACAGACATAACCGCAGGTTGTTTGAAAAGACAAACACTATTCGTTAGAATTGTGTTTTTCTATTGAAAAACAACCGGAGCGGTCCGTCTCCGGGCTATGTTTTGCAAGTCTGGCCGCGAATTGGGGCAACTTGGGTCAGGCCTAAACTTGTGGCTCGATTTTCTTAAAAATTTCAGTGTATGGGCTCCCGCAGGCGATCTACCTGTTGGCACCGGTCGCTACTCGCTTAAAACCTCGTGGCACGTGGCACGTGCGATTCCATTTTCCCCATGTTAAGTCAACGGGGTTTTGGACACTTTTTGCGCAATCGCGAATAGCGGGAAAACGAGCCAAGGAAGAGGTGGTTTTCTTCCCAGCATTTTATGGCAAACACGTTCAGGTACACGCTAGTGTGCGCCGTATACCCCTCAGAACTTCGTAACGTGTCTTTGCACGAGGTCAAAGTTGAACTTTTTTCGCTCCCCATGTTAAGTCAATGGGCGTTTTTGCAGAGACTTTTTCATTCGCTCATTGTACAAAATTATATGATACGATTTTGTTTAAACTTTCAGGACTTGTTGAGAAAAGACCATAGAACATGTTGTTATGCTTCTTTAAGCTGTGCAAATTCGTTTGTTGTCTTTAGGCTTCTTTAAAAATGAAAAATTTTAACATGGAAAGTCAATGGGAGCGTCTTTGGTGCTTAATAACTTTGTACCTTGAAGACATATTCAAGTGAAAAGTTGATATTTTATACAACTTTTGATGCTCTTTCCAATGATATATACAACTTTATTGCACGTGGTGCCGTTTTTGAGAAATATAGTAAAAAAGCACGACATTACCGAGATTTGAGCTCAGACCTATATCGTTACCAGCATCTGCGATGCTGGGCTCCGCATCGCGGGACCGCAGGTTGTTTGAGCAAGCACCTGTGCAACGCCGCAAAAACGCCCGCCGCCAAACGAGAGGATGAGCCTTGCACGTGCAGACGGGAGTCGGTGTGCTACGGACTGACGTGCACGGCACCCTATTCGCCGGTCTATAGCGGTGTGCCAAATTTGAGTGCAATCGGCCCGGCCGTTTTCGAGATCTCGAAGCGGCACCCTGCACGTGCGCACGTGCAAGCTGGGTCCCAATTGACTTGTGCACGGCACTCTATTCGCCGGTTTCTAGCGGTGTGCCAAATTCGAGCTCAATCGGCCCAGCCGTTTCCAAGATCTTGAAACGACCCCTCCACGTGCGCACGTGCAGTTGCATCTCAACCGTGACACATGGAAATACATACTAACTGACTTGTGCACGGCACCCTACTGATCGATCTCTAGATGTTTGCCGAATTTGAGTGCAATCGGTCCAGCCGTTCTTGAGATCTGGAAGCGTCACCCTGCACGTGCGCACGTGCAAGATGGGTCCAAACTGACTTGCGCACGGCAGTCGGCACCCTACTAATCGGTCTCTAGCGGTGTACCAAATTTGAACTCAATCGGTCCGGCCGTTCTCGAGATCTGGAAGCGTCACCCTGCACGTGCGCACGTGCAGTTGCACCCCAATCGTGGCACATGGAAATACATACTAAATGACTGCAACCTACTGATCGGTATCAAGCGTTTTGCCAAATTTGAACACAATCGGTCCAGCCGTTCTCGAGATCTGGAAGCGTCACCCTGCACGTGCGCACGTGCAGTTGCACCCCTACCAAGACACATGGAAATGCATCGCCTGGAAAGTGTCTACCTCCATGCCAAGTTTTAGCGCAATCGGCCCAGTAATTACCGCGAGCTATTGCGCTTATTACAAAACAGGCACCTCTTGGCTTTGCACGTGGAACGTGCGTTAGGGGTCACCCATATGCATCGAGAGTAGCACACTATGTGAAAGAAGGGACAAAGCTACCCCACACAAAAAACCGCACGTGTATCAGCCCAGTGGTTGCCGAGATATAAGTCGTACAAAAACGTCCCCACGGCGGCCGGCCGCTATTTAGCAGTAAAATCGTGTCGCATCCTTCTATGGGAGGTATCCCCGTCACCTGTTCGTATACTGTCTGAGCAAAGGCCATACGTTACGGTCCAAACTCCATAGTGAGGCGGACATACGAATTTACGAGAGTTTAGCGACGAAATGATTCACTTAATTGTTAAGTAATGGGTACCATTAGACCATAAATTTTATCTAGCATCTCACCGTAGATGCAGTAAAAAGTGCTTTACTTTTCAATGTATATAAAGACTTGCTCAGCTCAATCAGTTCACTCTGTATTGGCTCAAGCCGTATCATGCGAACGCAATACAAACTAGAGCACCGACAGCGCAGCGCTCCCCAACTCACTGCTCGCCCAGTCCACCCGGGCCGCCGCCACGACGGCCCCCCGCAAGTAGGCATCCCGCACTGCACCGACAGCCGCGGGCGACCAGCTGACCGGCCAGCTGACCGGCCAGCAGCCGGCGGGCGGCAAGCCGCGGATGGCCGACCCGCCGGCGCGGCGAGGGAGGGGAGGGACGCAGCTGAAAGACCCGACTACATATATATCAAAGAAACATTATATGTAATCATCGATGACGCGACATAAATCTGCTTTATTGGGTTTAGCGGTGTAGTCTGTGATGCCATCACAATGAAAATAGCCTAGTTTTGTAGAGCATCAAATTCTGATTCCATAACGACTCTCGCTAGTCCATTTTCAATTGTAAATAAGCCTTTTATTGCGATGCAAAGTCCCGAAATGGTGCCGACGGCGGCCGGTCCCCCGATGGTACCATACCATAGATCAGCAGGGCTGTTCACGGGCCCTGTGTGCGGTCGGACCGCACACAGCCTCCAAGCTCCGCCCACTGCGTCCCTACGTCAGCCTTCCGTCACCGCACACAGCGACCGCTGTGGCCGGTCGGGACTGGCCACAGCGGACCGTCCACCGCACGCAGCCGTGACGTCAGAGCCGCCTACCCATCCCCTACCCCCACGCCTGCTGGACGTACCGCACACACTGCACGCAGCAGTGTGCGGTGCCCGTGAACACCCCTCAGGTTAGTTCACATTCCCGCCGCTATGCGGGCGGCGGCGGCGCCACCTGTCCTCGTGTCCGCCTGACACCGTAACGATATAGGTCTGAGCTCAAATCTCGGTAATGTCGTGCTTTTTTACTATATTTCTCAAAAACGGCACAACGTGCAATAAAGTTGTATATATCATTGGAAAGAGCATCAAAAGTTGTATAACCTATCAACTTTTCACTTAAATATATCTCAACTGTAAAAAGTTATTAAGCAGCAAAGACGCTCCCATTCACTTTCCATGTTAAAATTTTTCATATTTAAACGAGCCTAAAAAGAACAAACGAATTTGCACAGCTTAAAGAAGCATAACAACATGTTCTATGGTCTTTTCTCAACAAGTCCTGAAAGTTAAAGCAAAATCGTATCATATAATTTTGTACAATGAGCGAATGAAAATGTCTCTGCAAAAACGCCCATTGACTTAACATGGGGAGCGAAAAAAGTTCAACTTTGACCTCGTGCAAAGACACGTTACGAAGTTC